TATGCTTTATAAGATCAGTGGGCTACTCTTTCCTTTGTAACTCCGTATATAGAAGTAAACTTCGGTGTCAGTCTAGAAACTCTATCAGAACCTTTCTCAGTCTCTACTACAGTCGGTGACCCAGTTATAGCTAGACGGGTATACAGAAATATCCCTGTCACAGTCTCTCAAAGATCACCTTAGCACATCCTGTAGAGTTAGAAATGGTAGACTTTGATGTCACTCTAGGCATGGATTGGTTACATTCCTATTATGCATCAATCGACAGTAGAACTAGGATCGTTCATTTTCAGTTTCACAGCGAACCAATCTTAGAATGGAAGGGTAGTAGCTCAGTGCCTATGGGTCGATTCATTTCTTACCTTAAGGCCAGAAAGATGATCTCTAAGGGATATCTCTATCATCTAGTTTGGGTTAAGGATTCAAGCTCTGAAACCATAACTTTTGAGTCAGTTCCAGTAGTAAATGAGTTCCCAAAAGTGTTTCCAGAAGATCTCGCCGGAGTTCCTCCCAAAAGGGAAATCTACTTCAGAATTGATCTCTTTCCAGACACCCAGCCTATTACTATTGCTCCTTACAGAATGGCTCCAACTAAGCTGAAGGAATTGCAAGAGTAGTAGAAATACCTTTTGTATAAGGGCTTCATTAGACGCAGCATTTCCCTATGGGGTGCACTAATGTTATTGAGAAAAGGAAAGATGGTTCTCTCAGGACGTGCATTGACTATCGGCAGTTGAACAAAGTCACAATCAAGAATAAGTACCCTATCCCCAGGATTGATGACTTGTTTGACCTACTTTAGGGTGCTAATCATTTTTCTAAAATAGTCCTCCGATTTGGTTACCATCAACTCAGAGTCAGAGATAGTTACATGTCGAAAACAGGCATCAAAACTCGGTATGGTCATTATGAATTTGTAGTTATGTCATTTGGACTAATCAATGCTCCTTCAGCTTTCATGGATTTGATGAATAAGGTGTTCAAGCATTATCTGGACTTGTTCGTTATCGTCTTTATTGATGATATCATCATTTACTCTAGGAATGAGGAAGAACATGCTACTCATTTGAGGATTGTCGTGCAAACTCTCAAAGATCGCCACTTATTTGCTATGTTTAGGAAATGTGAGTTTTGGTTACAATCAGTTGCTTTCCTTGGGTGTATAGTATCTAGCGAAGGGATCCAAGTGGATTCCCAGAAAATAGAGGTAGTGAAACAATGACCTAGACCCACCTCTCCAACATATATCAGAAGTTTCTTGGGTTTAGCTGGTTATTACGGAAGGTTCATGGAAGGATTTTCATCCATAGCTTCTCCATTGACTAAGTTGACTCAGAAAAAGTTTAAGTTTCAGTGGTCAGATGATTGTGAGAAGAACTTTTCAGAATTGAAAACTAGGTTGACTACAACTGTTGTTTTGACTCTACTAGAGGGTTCAGACGGTTATATGATCTATTGTGATGCATCCAGGGATGGCCTAGGTTGTGTGTTTATGCAGCGAGGTAAGGTTATAGCTTATGCTTTTACACAACTTAAGGTGTATGTGAAGAACTATGCGACTCAAGACCTTGAGCTTGCAGTAGTGGTATTTTCCCTAAAGATTTGGAGACATTACTTGTATTGTGTTCACGTAGATGTGTTCACAGACCATAAAATCCTTCAGTATGTGTTCACCCAGAAAGAGTTGAATCTTTGCTAGAGGATATGGCTTGAATTCTTCAAGGACTATGATATGAATGTGCTTTACCATCCTGGTAAGGCCAATGTAGTAGTTGATTGTCTTAGCAGGCTGTCTACGGGTAGTGTAGCACATGTTGAGGCAGAAAGGAAGGAATTAGCGAAGGATGTTCACCGGCTTGCTCGCATGGTGATTTATCGTTTCAAGCACACCTCATCCAATTGTAGGTGTTCAACGATCGTAAATCAGTATAAACCCAACTAAATGAGTTGGGGTCGATTCCACAAAGAGTAGTTATATTTTGAATTCAACTATGATGTTATAACAGTGACTTTTGCAGCTGAAAGAATAAAAGTTTTACGAAACTATGAACGAAACTCGAAGACATAGTCGCTATTCCAAGCAAGCAGTTTTTAGACTACAAAACCACATCAAGAATCAACAAGGAACAATAAAAAAAGTAGACAATATTTGGGGGATTGACAAACCAACTCCGAAGTTCAACTCTACGGGTGCAAATCACTAACCAACGATGTTAATTCTTCATGGGTAGGACAGACTTTAGGTAAGGCAATTTTCTCTCGAAAAATTACCTTGTTTCCACTAAGTTCTTTCGAACCTCAATGCACTCCATAAGAAGACCAACCCACAATCTCATCAAATCTACACTCTCGAGCTAGATACAAAGGATGAGTCTTGAGTTTCACTTTATCAAGCTGAAATCGTCATGACCCACTAACTATGGATGCCAAGTTACTACCTTTGCTCTACACTTTTCTCTCAAGAAAGCATAAAACCCGAGCTATATTGCACTTAACATACAATATAGGAGTTAAACCACAATAATAACTCAGACCCATTTCAAATTAACACCAAAAATCGATAATTACTAACACCCATTAAGTCAAACACAACAATTAGTTACATTGTCAAACCCCCAAGATTGTGGTTTTAGCCAATCATCGTAAAAGGATGAAATTCGATACCTGCTACATTCTCCATAGCAGGGTATTTGAAAATCAAAAGTCTAAAATGAATAATATCTTCTCTATTACAATACCCAATTGAAAACACTTGCTAAAATGACTCAAAATAAACAATAGCAGTGTTTTTACTATCTTTCTTCAGTTCCTCACAATTTCTAAATGCTTTCTCTCTCTTCTAAAAAACAATTTATACTAATTTGAGGTGTGGCTTTTTGGGGCCAATCGGCGAGGAAAGTCGGGCTTTGCCGACCATTCGGAGACTCACATTGAGCATTTGAGTATGGCACAAAATGAGCATTTGAGGACACTAAACCTATGTAAACAAAGCCCTAAATCAGTCCAAATCTCGGACTCATCAACACCCCTAACTTAAAATTTTGCTTGTCCTCAAGTTCAGCAGTTCAAAAAGGATGTCTCAAATAGTTCTACAAAAGATTCAGCATGAACGCACATAACAAGACTCAAGTACTCATGCAATGATCAATTGTACACTGAAAGATTCAAGTGTGACGTCACCATTACGAAATATGCTCAAGCTCACAATACTCGCTTCAAACGCAAGTTCAAGCTCAATAAAGATACTCAATTGCCCTCACAACAGGGTTGATTCCTTAATCACACGAAGTTCTTCAATAATTTATAGTTATGCAATCACATATAACTCTCACACTCACAGAGATGAACACATGCATTACTTCACCTATATGTTTTCCCTTATTTTCCAATCAACACTCGCCTTAAATCACTCAAGATCACAAAGGTCTTTCAAGGCTTATAACGGGGCAGAGTGTAAAGTTATGGTCATTTAGGATCAGTGTCTTCTACCCTCATGAAATGTGGCCTGAACCTCATTTTCCTCCTTTTCTTCAACAGTTTGATCATGTTCACAATTAACCCCACTATTCACTTTCACATGGACTAACGGATACCCCATATCTTTTTGCAATTTTCATCACTTATTTCACAACTTTTTCATTCTTTTCTTTTATTTTCTTGTCTTTTTTTTTATGTGGAGGGGTTCTATCTTTTTCAAAACCATTGCTCAAAGGAGTAATTTTTCAAAGTTCTTGATTCACCTTCTCTTTTCACCAAACCCCCAACTTAGGCTTTTGGCCTAAGTTGGCTATTCAAACAAACCACACTTCATGAGGATTATGGGTGAATGGATAAACAGGGGTCACAATTACTCAAGTTTCTTCTAAGAAAAGGATAAGGTTCAAAGGGGTTCAAGCAATGTTCACACATCTCACAAGGTTGGCCAGAAAAAGAGGTATATTATCAAGTTGTTTCCCTCTTCAAAATTGTTGCCTAAGATCATTTCAAGAGTTTAAATATTATCAAGTTGTTTCCCTCTTCAAAATTGTTGCCTAAGATCAGTTCAAGAGTTTGAATCACTTGGTCAACCGAACCAACGGGTCAAATTCTAGGTGTCACCACACACAATGTTCAAGGTAAGCTCATCACACAAGGCATTGGCACCAACATCAAATAAGACTCATTTAGGCTAATGTGCAATGCTCATCACAAGAGACTCCATTCGATAACCGGCTAGTCACAAAGAGATGCAAAAATTCCACATATTGTCTATGCAACTTCATTTGGCCTCGTTGTAGCTGCACATTCACTTCATTCAATTAATACCACTATTCAAGTCATCAGCATTGATCATGCATGATACTCGAATAACTCAGTAGAGAACAAAAGACTTGATAACATGACTCCTACCACCCCCACCAAAAGCATCCAACATTGTCCTTAACGTGAATAGAGAACAAACAATAACAAAGGTAACAGTAAACTACTGGCACTTAAGCAAACAGAGTAGGGGGACAAGGAATCTTCACTAGGCGCCCATTCGACAAAAGCTTGTAGGAGTCGCCGAACTATTTGGCGAATCGCCGAATGTTCTGGTTCTCGTCGAAGTTTCCAGTATGCAGCTAGTCCATTTTGGGACATAAAGGCAGAAAAGAGTGACTACGCCAAATGGCTTTCGCGCATCGCCTAATAGATATGAGATATCGCCAACTGCTCCAAGACTCTGAGCTATCGGGCTAATTTAAAAAGGTAGTGAAAGTCGGATCATCTAATCACATCGGCGAGTCACTGATTGGTGCAGGTACGCCGCCTTATGTTTCAGTATCTCAACCCACTGTTGATGCCAATGGAGCGATCAACTTCATGATCGCTGAACTGACTCGGTGATCTACCGATGAACTCTTACCCTCAAAAAATAACCTACACCGCCACATTCAGCATACATTATTCAAAACAGTAACACTTGGGTTGCCTCCAAGGGAGCACCTTATTTAACTTCGTGGTACAACGTGGAAATGCTCTCAAGAATCCTCTAGATATACCACTTCAATCACAGAAATTTCTTGGCAATCTCCAAAATATAACTTCAAGTGTTGCCGATTCACCTTGAAGGCAGGGCCTTCTTTACTTTCAACTTCAATGGCACCATTTGTGAAAACCTGTGTTACTCTAAATGGACCTGACCATTTGGATTTGAGCTTTCCTGGAAAGAGTCTTAGTCGAGAATTATACAACAACTTCCAATCTCCAACTCGGGATTCCCTCTTAAGGATTCTAGAATCATGCCACTTTTTCATCTTTTTTTTGTATAGAGCTGAAGTTTCATCAGCACTGAACCTGAATTCTTCTAATTCATTGAGTTGATCTACTCTTCCTTTTGAAGTATTTGCCCAGTCCAGATTTAGATCCTTTAATGCCCATAATGCTTTGTGTTACAATTCAACCCGTAAATGGCAAGTTTCACCGAAGACTAGCTGTTACGGGGACATACCGATTGGTGTTTTGTAGGCAGTGTGTTATGCCCACAGAGCATCATCTAGCTTTCGAGACCAATCAGTCCTATTTGCATTTACGGTATTAGCCAAGATACTCTTGATCTCTCGATTCGAAACATCCACTTGTCCACTTATTTGAGGATCATATGGTGTTGCTACTTTATATCGCACCCCATATTTTCTCAATGCGGACGCGAAAAGCCTATTGCAAAAATGGGATCCACCATCACAAATAATAGCCCGAGGAGTGCCAAACTTAGCAAAGATGTAGCATTTTAGGAACTGAACAACACTTCTCCCTTCATTGTTTGGTAGTGCCACACCTTCTACCCATTTAGAAACATAGTTCAGTTCCACCAAAATGTACTTATTGTTGACACCCAATTTTGGCCTAACATTTTCAAAATTCATAACTTTTAAGTTTTATTTATTTAATAGTTCAAAATAATTTTTTTATATTTTTAAATAAGATTATTGTTAACTATCCTTATTTATAAAAAAAAATAGGATTTTTTTTATTATTAGTTAATTTTAAAATTGCATTTTTTACATGTCATTAGTTACGTTTATTATATTTTTAAATATTGATTTTATTAGTTATATTTGTTAATATTTATTTTAATTTTTTACACAGTTTAAAAATAAATTCAAATATATATAAGTTTTCGTATACGACTATTTTATTAACTAGTGGTTTCGGCCCATGATTTTTAGATAATAGTATTATGCAATAAATGGTTTTTAATTTTCTATTTAATCTACTTCTTAGTCTTTAAGTGGGTGTGGTGAAAATTCCAAAAAGGGATGAAACCCTAAGATATTTTTCTACCCTATTTCCCACTGCCTCCCCCTCTCTTCCACCACCAAACCCCCACTCTAAAACAACTTCCTCAAACCCACCGGATAACCACCCAAAACAGACCCATTTTTGCTCTTCTTCTCCAACCATTTCCTCACCAACGCCACCACAAAACACCTCCATCCTCCTTCCTCCCTGGCTCGAGTTCCACCATTAATGGTGAACTTTGAGCTCCAAACATCGACCAAACGCGCCTGAAACCACCAACAAACAACAGCCAATTTCAAACCCCCACTCAAATCGACCAAACCCACCACCAGTGACCACTGAAAACAAACCCAAAACCCCATTCATTTATCTCCATGTTTCCAGCAAAATCACTCTTTCCAGCCATCACAACCTTCCTCTATCCTCCTTAGCGCGAGTTCCACCATTAATGGTGAACTTTGAGCTCACAACAGCAAACCAAGCAACCACCCACCACAAACTCTGGTGGACAGCGTGCTTCGAGCTGGCACAACCTCCACAACCAGCTCCGAGTAGGAGAACCGCGACAACAACACCTCAAACTCTTGTGGACAACAACCAGCCGCCGCGACAATAAATCCGGTGAAAACCGCTAGATCCAGATAGCTCCAAGCGAGCTCGTGAGCGACAAGAAACAACCAGACCTAAAACTCCGGCGAGACCCCACCTGAAACAACAAAAAGAGGATGAAAACAACCACCACTATGCTCCAGTTCAACAAACCAGAAAGCTTCGCAAATCAGAGCTATGAAGATCGTGAATAACAGTCGGTCAATTTCTTTTCCCTCTTTGTTATTTTGTTTCCCGGTTAATTATTACAGATATGGACATTTTCTATTTTATCTGCATATTTTGTGATTAGATCGTGTTTCATTGTTAATTTGTTATTATTATTCGAATAGATCTAGCCGAGAAATATCCTCCACTGCTGATAGTTCTCTGTCTTTTGAGGATATGTTTATGTGTATATATGTCATATCATTTTAGTGTGTTTATCTACTTGAAGGTTTTAAATTAAACAAGTGTTTGTTCTTGCTTATTTGTAGTTATTATTTTATTCAATTTAGTGATTGTTAGGCACTATTTTTTTTTCATTCCATATTCATTCTGTTTGTGATGTTGATGCTGTGAGAAGCGATTCCATGCATTTTATTTATTTATTTTTTATGTTTTCTAATAATTTTCATGTTTGAGTTGAGTTACTGTATAGTTGGTTTATCTATTCTAGTGTCAATTTTAATTATTCAGGCTCTTGTCTTATTATTTACCAAGTGTGATTTAATTTTTTCTTACTATTTTATGTTTCTTCTAATCACTGTTGGTAGTGGAATATTATCTCTTATCCATTCTTGTTTCACTGTTACTACACTTTTAAGTTTGAATATTGCAATAATTATAATTGACTCGGTTTATCATATGGTCATTGTTTAGTGTCTTAAAATATTTATTTTTTTTATTTTTATTTTTCTACACATTGTCATTAAATTATATATAATACAAGTTAAATTGGCCAATGAAAAAATTTCTCCGTCGATTTTGGAGGCCTCCCCATTTTAAAAGACGGAAAATTAGTTTAAGTTTATATAAGTTTTATGTTAAAAATGGCCAATGAAGAAATTACCATCGAAAAATTAGTTTAAGTTTATATAAATTTTATGTTAAAAATGGCCAATGAAGAAATTACCATCGATTTCCAAGGCTTACCATGTTAATAAGACGGGTTTTTATTTTTAAGTTATTCTTTGATTCATTTATTTTTATTCATGTTAATATATTACTAACACTTTTACTAAGTGTCTTTATAGGTACTCGGAGATACTTCCCATTGAAATTATTCAAATTAGGTTCGAATTATACTCTTATTCATTATTTTATATTATTGACGATAGGCAAATTTAGGCCGATTCCTAAATTCACTGTGACGCTCAAGAAGGAATTAAATTACTCTTATCCCAAATAAATATTCTACCCGTCCCTAAGCCTACATTACAGGCCAATAACAAGTCCTACGTGATATCATTCCAAATGTTCTTATATTAGTGGAGATTTCAATAACAAGTCTTATGTGATATCATTCCAAATGTTCTTATATTAGTGGAGATTTTCTTTATATTATTTATATTTCAAAATTCAAAAAAAAATAAGGTGATCAAGCACCCACTCTTTCATATTTTTCCAAAGCATCTTTATTTAGATTCTTTCCATTAAAAAAAAAAAAAGACTTTGTCTTTCCTTTTTGAGTTATTCATTGTAAAAAGTGTCATTAGACTAATATTGTCAGTGTGAGACAAGTATTTTACTTCATTGGATTGTTCGTCTAAGAAATGTGATATATCTTTTCTTTAAGCTTTCAATAGCGCAGGGAATATTATTTTCCTATTTCATCATCTTCATATTGTACATTTTCTACTGATGACCTTATCTCAGATTATTTGCAGTATTCATCATTTACTTTTAGATTCTTTCCATTAAAGAAAAAAAAAGACTTTGTCTTTCCTTTTTGAGTTATTCATTGTAAAAAGTGTCATTAGACTAATATTGTCAGTGTGAGACAAGTATTTTACTTCATTGGATTGTTCGTCTAAGAAATGTGATATATCTTTTCTTTAAGCTTTCAATAGCGCAGGGAATATTATTTTCCTATTTCATCATCTTCATATTGTACATTTTCTACTGATGACCTTATCTCAGATTATTTGCAGTATTCATCATTTACAGGATTGGAACTACATTTGACCTGATTCCTGGCTCAACTGGATATGTAGGCGCCACGATGGGTCGGTCATATACCTATTGTGATTTTCTTTTCACCTTGTAATAAAAACTGGGACAAATTTTTTGAGAATATCTCAAAAATTCAGAATAAAGGTGCTATCTCCAGCAAATCAATATTGGAGATCATTTTGAGATTTGTCAAAAGTTCTAACTGGGCCATAATTTTTGAGGAAAACCTCAAAAATTCTAACAACTACTGTTAGAAGCTTAATAGTCAACTTCAAATGATCCATCATCGCTTGAAGTTCAAAGTGAACTTGAAAAATCTCCAGCATTGTCAGGGTGAGCCAGCAGCTCCTAGTACAAATCCCCAATAAGACATGAGTCGCAATAAACATAAAATGGTCAAGAGTAAAATGTTGATTGCTCACATGTGTCAAACTGATTAGGCATTTTGTACACATTCCCTTTTAAAGAATCTTTTCTCAAGGTTTCTTGACTAAGTCGCTAGCTAAGGCGACATTGTGTCTACTAATTGTTCCTTTTCAAGTACAGGAACAGGCAAAAGCATTAATGCAATGACACTTTCAAGACAATCATCGAACCATCCACCTCATTAAAGTTGGATAATCATCGAGCCATCCACCTTGTTATAGTGGAAAATCATTATCTCTTATCCATTCTTGTTTCACTGTTACTATACTTTTAAGTTTGAATATTGCAATAATTATAATTGACTCAGTTTATCATATGGTCATTCTTTAGTGTCTTAAAATATTTTTTATATTTTTTTTTCTACACATTGTCATTAAATTATATATATTACAAGTTAAATTGGCCAATGAAAAAATCTCTCCGTAGGTTTTGGAGGCCTCCTCATTTTAAAAGATGGAAATTTAGTTTAAGTTTATACAAGTTTTATGTTAAAATTGGCCGATGAAGAAATTATCGTCGATTTCCAAGGCCTTCCATGTTAATAAGATGAGTTTTTATTTTTAAGTTATTCTTTGTAACTCATGCTGACTCAATAGTAATTTGAACTTATTCCACATTAATATTTGTTTCACAATCAGCACCATCACTATCACCACCCCGGCCAACAGGAGGTGGATGAGGAGGTCTATTTGTTTCTTTTTTCTTTCTTCCACATCCTCCCTTTTTCCCTTTTCCTGTATCAGTATTGTTATTATTACTACTTGATGGCACTTCTATAGCTTGAACAACATCTAATTTTTGAAGAACATTTTGTTTGCTAGCTTTGTGTTCCTTAACTTTTGGCGAAGGAAAATACGCATTTTCTTCTTCTTGATCAACATTGTTACCTAATTTTCATAATCATCAAGATTGATTAGTGGAGTACTAATGATGAACTTTGGAACTGGATCTTTGGAATTTTCTAAGGTGTCACCTTTTATTACAAATTTATTCAATGGCTCCCATAAGTTATTCACTTTGATTCAATTGTTTTTATTCATATTAATTTATTACTAACACTTTTAC